TTTATAAATTCATTAAACAATTATTTAAAAACTCTGCATTAGTGTCAATTTCAAATATACTTTTGTTTAAGTAAATACTGAGTCAGAATCTATGAAAAATAAATTTTTTTAAGAAAAACAAAACGATTGATCCTAAATGCGTAATACCAATGGAGATTTACACATTACCTCAACTCCCTCTTCTATTGTAGTTTGGTCAGTGTGTATATGAATTTCCGGAGATAAGGGTGACTCATAAGGAGCAGATATACCAGTGAATTCTATATAATTCAATTCAACTTGAGAATAGTTATTTGATAAAAGCGTGAGCTCAAATGAGAAAATACCTTTTATTTCACCAGCTTTTGCTTTTTTATATAGCCCTTTTGGGTCACGCTGTTCAACAACTTCGAGGGGCGCATCAACAAATACCTGAAATTGATAATGGTGAGTAAAATAACGTGCGCGCTAACTCTTAAGTATAAGAAATATCACAAACCTCAATAAAGGGAATGCTGCTATCCTCATGTAATTTTCTTGCGGCATCACGGTCAGATCGATAAGGTGAGATAAAAGATGTAAGTGCGATTGTTGTGGAATCAGCGAAAAGTTTTGCAACCTATTTGAAAAAAAATTAACGAAGTGTATATACAACAAGCAGTCCACAAAAGTTTATTTTTACCTCGGCGATTCTTCGGATGTTTTCTTCACGATCCTTCGGGCCAAAACCTAAATCTTTGTTCAGACCAAACCTAATATTATCACCGTCGAGTCTATAACTCGGCACGCCTTTACTTATTAAATGTTGTTCCAAGGCACTTGCTAAAGTGGATTTTCCCGAAGCAGATAATCCAGTAAACCAAATTGTTAAACCTTTGTGACCTAATAATTTTTCGCGCTCCTCGCGGGAAAATTTACCCGCATGCCATGTTATATTTGTAGACATGTCTTTTCGCAAGGAGACCAAGAAAAAGGTTTTCGTCGAAGATGATCATGAAATGCGTAAATGTATAGTGTGCAGATCATGCCCAAAAGATCCAAAGAACGAAGTTTTTTTACTAAAGCACGTCATTTTCAGAAAAGAATACATATGATGAATGAAATAATTTAGTTAGAACTTAATATCATTATTTTAGCATCAATTTGTCTAATTTTACATTATTAAAAGAGAATATTTTTCTAGAAAAGGAAAAACTTCATACAGAACCAATGAATAAACGATAATATCAGACAACCTTTCGGCAATTCAAATTCGTATTTACCATCAGAGAATTCGGAAGCTTATTCTACTAAATTAAAGTTTTTGAAAATAGTTTTTGAAAAAATTCCAGCATATAGTGATCTGATCGGTCAGAAAGTCGGAATCGATCGTTAAATATAAAATCAGATTCAAATGTTCAATTAATATGGGTAACTATATTTTGAAGGAAAAAATTGCTGAGTTATTAATTTTCGGTCCACATTTTTAAATAATACGTATATAATGCAATAATGCAATTGTACAATCTCTGAGTCCAAAAAATCCTTCTCCATCTTCAAAATAATTACAAAAAGCTTGAGTTAAATTCTATTTCTCTTAAATTTATTCTTTTAATGAATATTGCAGATTTTAAATATAAGTATACATTTTGATGCAAAACTTTTTGGAATTTTTTTATTTAATTATTATTCAAAAATCGTTGTATATAAATTAATAATCAATATATCAAATGAGATTTAAAATATAGAAATTACAATATATTTTTATAATATTACATTTTTAAAAACATTTTATTTAATAAAAATTGTTCCTATGGGAACATAGCGTACTGGTAAATGGCTGGCACTTCTGTAAGGGGGTTGCGAGTTCAATACCGGATGATGGCAGTACAAACCTGTTGGACCAATTCGCAGGGGTCATTATGGTAAGCGTCA